AGGATCGCTTGAGCCCAGGAGTTTGAGGTTGCTGTGAGCTAGGCTGACGCCATGACACTCTAGCCCGGGCAACAGAGCAGGACTCTGTCTCAAAAAAAAAAAAAAAAAATTAAAGCAGGTTAATTTCAAAAGGATACAAGAAGATAGCAAAATCAAGGAATCCCGTAAGTCAGTTTTTCAGTTACGGCCTGAGCCTTGGAACCGTGAGATCATAATGGTCAGTGGTCCTGACTACCGAGGAGTCCTCGGGCTTTAAAGATTTATCTTGAAGACTGCTCTGCCAGGTGCTGAGCATTGGAGAAAAAGGTTTGTGATCATCAATCCAAAAGCACTCCTAGCCTTTGGAGGGGGGTAATTCAAGCTCTCATAGCATAGGGTGGTCTTTTAATATACTGTTTGTGGTCATCAAAACAGACTAGTGGTCCCAAGAAGTGTTCTATCTTGTTTCCTCTAAAACATCTGAACTACTTCTTAACTTCAACACTGGCTTCCTGAAAGCTGCTCATATTCCTTGGATTTAGTGGTGCCAGGCTCAAGAGAGCAGGCTTCGTGTTCTCAGGGGAAACACTTTCTTGGCTCTGTGGGGGACAGTTTTGTGTACATCTCTGAAAATGTCTGCCTATTTCTGAGAGTTTCTGTGTTCTATTGAAACTAGTTGGTGTCAACTATTATGACCACAGAGTCCTGTGGGAGCTTGGTTGTAGCTCAAGCAAATGGTATCTAAGTACTTCTTTTTGATTAGAAACTTTCTGATGTTTCCAATATTATTTGGTGTTCTTTAGCAAACTTTTTCCCAAATTTAATGTTGATTTACATAAGGTAGGAGTCAATTTTCCACACTCATCAGTTATCTAAATTTTCATGCTAATGTGAAACCAAATTGTACTTATTTCTTCACAAATCTCCATGTCATTTCATTTTATATAGGTTGGGCTATAAATTGTCTTGTGTTTCCTTTTTTTTTTTTTTGCTGGATTTTAAATGCTTGAGGAGTAAAAACTGTTACATTTTATCTGAATCTTCCTTGCAGGGTGTAGCATTGTGGCTTAGGTAGAGTAAATATGAAGTGATTCAGTGGAAACAAACATGCTTCTTTGAGAAGTGTATAGATTGATTTAAAACATCAGGGAAATGTGATTTTTTTTCAAAAATTCAGTGTTAACTTTTCTTTAAGGATGACATATCTGTCACTCTTATCAGCATTAAGTAGCACCAAATATTTATGGAGAACGTTAAAGAATGCTTTTGCTATCTTACTTTATTTTAAGTTTCATTATAACTTTAAAATAGATACTATTTTTCCAGGTTACCATTCTATTTTATTATTGTCATTGACATTTTGCCAGATTAGAGACATGGGTAGTCTAAATTTTTAAATGGTCTTTTGAGATATATTGTGCATACAAGACATTATTTATTGTGATATCAACTGTAAGAGAGTATCTCTAAGGATACTTCCCACACAGTCCTCTTGGCTCTTGGGTCCACCTTTTGGGCCTTGGTTCTGCCCTCTGGATTTTTGTCACTGCCTTCTGTGTCATCCTTTACATGGAAAGTGGCACATGTTTGCCACTGAGTAGTTGTATCAGTCTGTTTTCTGCCAATAGGATTTGGGGATCTGACAACCTTCTTTTATTCTCCACTCTTTCTTTCTTTTTCAGTCCAGTCTGACAGTGTTTCTGCTGATAGAAATATTTTCAAGAACTTTGTGGGTCTCCTATGGTTGTCACTGGCATTCACTTCACTAGATAGGAGTCAGGTCCACCAGTCTATTTGAGATCATCCCTTGCGTGTTTTTGTCTTCTGCCAAGGAAAACACCCAGGCTAGAGTGCAGTGGTGTCACATAGCTCACTGCAACCAAAATCTCCTCGACTCAAGTGATCCTCCTGCCTTTGCCTCTGGAGTAGCTGGGACTATAGCCCCATGCCACCAAGCCTGGCTAATTTTTTCTATTTTTTTTTTTTTTGTAGAAACATGTTGCCCAGGTTTGTCTCAAACTGCTGGCCCAAGTGATCCTTTCACCTTGGCCTCTCAAAGTGCTGGAATTACAAGCATGAGCCATCATACCTGGCCATAAAATTCATCTTTCTTTCCACTGTTTGTTTGCCATGGTTTAGGTCTGGGCTAAGGCAAGTCAGGTTTTCCCCACAATGCTCCTCAGCGCCTTCTGAGCCCACATTCTGAGTCTTTAATGTCCATGTTTTTCCTAACAGTCTTTTCAAGACAATCTACACTCTTTTTTTCTATCTCAGTTCTCCAAATTGTTCCAACATCCACTCACTGCTGATTCCGAAGCCGCCTGTGCGTTTTTAGGTGTTTATTACAGCAGCACCCACGGCCAGGTACCAGAATCCGTATTTGGTTTTTATGCAGCTATAACAAATTACTGCAGACTTAGTGGTTTAAAACAATAGGAATTTATGTTACAGTTTTGTAGGCCAGAAATCCAGGTGGGCTGGACTGGGTCCTCTGCCAAGGGGACTCCAAAGGCTGGTGGAGGCGTGCAGAGCTGGACCCCTTACTCGGGCTCTGGGGAAGAATCTACTTCTGAGCCCAATGTGTGGCTGAATTCAGTTACTTGAGGGTGGGGTATTGAGGTCCCCCTTTCTTTGCCTGCTGTCCCCTGGGGGCTGGTGTTTGCTCCTACGGGCTGCCTGTACTTCTTCCATGTGGCTCCCGCCAGTAGCGGTAGATCAAGCATAATTTTTAGATTTTTGTCACCCTTGCAATGTGGCATAAAGCACTGTCACGTATTTGACCATTGACAGTGCTGTCATGTTTGGGGTGTTGCAGGAGAAGCTGTTTTTCGGAGGTGGATACCTGCAGTGAGAAAATGACATCACTGGAGGCTGCTGATTATACGCTGCTGATGGACGACCTCGTGGAACTGAAAAGAGGCTGGAGGAGGCAGAGGCGGCACCTCTTTTTGTTCAGCGACGTGTTGCTTGTGTCTAATACCAAGTACGTATACGCTGCCTGCTCTCGCGGTTAGCACACAACACGTTTTCACTAACAAATTGCATTTCCACCAACTCTGTAAGAAAATATAAAGTAATTTTTTCTTCTGTTTGTATAAATGTTTTGATCATTTATTCAACAGATATTTATGAAGGTCGCATTCTGTGCTGTGACCCCATAGAGAATATAATGGAGAATGTAACAGGCAGGGTCCCTCTTGCCTAGGGTGACACACAGATGACACAAATAAGAGAGGGGCAATTGCAGACTGTGAGTAGTGCTCCTGATAAGAAGGTAGGACAGGATGCCATGTGGAGAGGAAGACGGGACGATGTTGAAGAGGAGTTGTCCAAGAGGCCCTCTGTGAGGTGATGACATTTAAACCCGACTGATGGGCTGAGAAGCAGCCACCATGTCTAGATGAGGGGCTGAACCTTCCAGGCTGAGGAACAGCAGGCCTAAGATGGGCACGGCTTGGCCCTCTGCAGGGCGGGTCCCAGGGCAGGTCGATGCGATGGGAGAGTAATGCGGGGAGCGTGAGGTCGGGTAGAGAGTGGGGGGGCTCTGGAGGCTCTGGTCACACAGGGTCACCGTAGGCCATAGGAAGGGGTCGAATACTGTGCTGAGGGGTTGCAAACTGGAGAGTGACCAAATCAGGCGAGTCTTTTAGCAGATCGTTCTGGCTGTTGGTAGATTGCTGGGCAGGGACGATTGGAAGCAGGGAAACCAGTTAGGGGAGGCAATAGCCCTGACAGATGGTGACAAGGACTTCCTCTCTGAAGTGCCAGGAGAAATGAATGAAGCAGCAGACAGATTTGGCATGCAGGTTGGAGACAGAACCAGCTGGGGGCACTTTGCTTCAGCACCGACACGGGTGCAGCACCAGCCTGGCGAGGGCTGAGTACTTGGCAGAGCTGAAGGCAGGGAGGTGGAGGGGCTGAGTGGTCTGGCCGTCTGTCTACCTGTTCCAGCTCTGTTTGTACCATTCGTGAAATATCATGAGAGACAAAGAGTATTTTAACAAACAAAATCCTATCAAGTAGCTTTTCTTACTAGAGAAAAATAAAACTGTTCTCTGCTTCCCTCACCCTGCCTTCCAGGTATGTGTGTTGTACCTGAGACGTGCAAAATTAAGTGGTTATATTTTTAAATGTTACATTTAATCTGCGTGGCAATAATAACGGCTATAATTTATCAGGGGCATGTTTGGGCCAAGTATTGGGCTAAGGACTTCATGCACCTAATCTGGTCTCACCATAACAGCTGCTATGTGGACGGGACTGTCTCCCTGTTGTGCAGAGGGCCTTGGTGCCCACGAGTCTCCTCGCTTCCCCCAAGTTAGCACGTTAGGGTTAGTGACGTCCACATTTGAAACCAGATCTCTTTATTTCAAAGCACAGGCTTTTTACCCAACATGTGGCACTACCTCCTCTTTTCATTTTTTTTTTTCTTTTCTTTTGAATTGCATAGAAGATTCCATGACTATTTGGTTTTTCTTTTGCCACTGGAACCAACCTTTCCTTTGTGGTGAGTGAAAGACCAAATCTCATTTGCTTGGTATCTAGTAAAAAATGGGACAGAATGCTTAGTGAATGGAGCAATGAATGAAAAGCCCAGCCAGCAAAAAACTCAGAGACAAAGATAATAAAATATGCTTTGGGTGAGAGAAATCACCTGCAGATGTAGCTATAGAGGCGCTGATGTCGTCAACAGGACAGAGAAAGACTTTCTGGGCCTTGGTGTGAGGTCCATGTGAAGTGCCCAAAAGAG